TTTCCACTAAAAGGGTTAAAGGTAACCAGATAATCAACACAATTAATATTAACAAGTTGAAAGGAGTGCAAGCCAAAATAGGGATAGAACAAGTTAAAGAATATTTAGGTAAGTTAGAGGTTGTTAGGTTCAAGTTGGCAGGGCCTGATAAAATTCATCCTCGGGTACTTAAGGAACTAACAAAAGCAATCTGGGAACCATTAGCGATTATCTTTGAGAACTCCGTGGAGGATGGATGAGGTCCCACATGACTGGAGAAGGGCAAACATAGTACCTGTCTTTAAAAAGGGGAACAAAGAGGACCCCAGGAATTATAAACCATTCAGCCTAACTTCAATACCTGGAAAGATACTGGAACAAATTATTAGATAATCAATTTGTAAGCACCTAGAGGATAATAGGATTATAAGTAAGGATACGATTCTGTCACGGAGGACATGGATTCCGTGACTTTCTGGGACCTCCGTAACTTCTTCTGAGGCAGGGCTAGAGCAGCTGTAAGCCCCAGGGCTGCTGGAGCAGTGGCCACTGGAACAGCTCGCCGTGACCAACCCCGGGCTGGTGCCAGAGCAACAGATGGGGGTGCAAGTGTGTGCCAGAACAGCTGACTGGCGGCCCGCAGCTAGAGCAGCGGCTGAAGTTGGGTCAGTCCCCCTAGAACTGGAGCAGCAGCAGTCAGACTCTGCCACAGGAGCAGTGGCGGGGCTGGAGCAGATGCAAGTCCCAGCAGTGCTCTGTTTGTGGTCCCCCATGCCCAGGGTATTTTTAGTAAAAGTCAGGGACAGGTCATGGGCTTCCATGAATTTTTATTTATTGCCTGTGACCTGTCCCTGACTTTTACTAAGAATGCCTGTGATAGAATCTTAACTTTAGCTATAAGGAATAGCCAGCATAGATTTGCCAAGAACAAATCATGCCAACATCAACCTTATTTCCCTCTTTGACAGGGTCACTGGCTTAGTGCATGAGGGGAAGCAGTAGGCATGATATAACTTGATTTTTAGTAAGACTTTTGACACAGTCCCACATGATATTCTACTAAGCACACTAGGGAAATGTGGTCTAGATAAAATTACAAAGGGTGAGTGCATAACTGGTTGAATAACTACTCAAAGAGTAGTTATTAATAGTTTGCAGTCAAACTGGGAGGGCGTAACTAGTGGGGTTCCACAGCAGTCAATCTGGGTGTGGTACTAGTCAATATTTTCATTAATAACTTGGATACTGGAATGGAGAGTATGCTTATAAAATTTGCAGATGTCTGTAAGCACTTTGGAGGACAGGATTATAATTCAAAACAATCTTGACAAATTGGAGAATTGGTCTGAATTCAACAAGATGAAATGAAATAAAGACATGTGCAATGTACTTCACTTAGGAAGAAAAAATCAAATCCACAACTGCAAAATGGGGAATAACTGACTATGTGATAGTACTACTGAAAAGCATCTGGGGGTTATAGTGGATCACAAATTGAATGAGAGTCAACAATGTGATGCAATTGCAAAAAAGGTTAATATCATTCTGGGGTGTATTAACAGGAATGTCATATGTAAGACATGAGAGGTAACTGTCCTAGTCTACTTGGCATTTGGTGAAGCCTTAGCTGTAGTACTGTATCCAATTCTGAGTGCCACACTTTAGGAAATATGTGGATAAACTGGAGAAAGTCCAGAGGAGAGCAACACAATGACAAAAGGTTTAGAAAACCCGTCCTATGAGGAAAGGTTAAAAAAAACTGGGCATATTAATCTTCAGAAAAGAAGACTGAGGGGGGACCTAATAAATCTTCAAATATGTTAAAGGCTGTTATGAAGACGGTGGTGATCAATTGTTCTCCATGTCTGTTGAAGGCAGGACAAGAAGTAATGGGCTTAATCTGCAGCAGGGGAGATTTAGCTTAGATATTAGGAAAAATTTTCCAACTATAAAGGTAGTTAAACTCTGGACTAGGCTTCCAAGGGAGTTCCTGGAATCCCTGTCACTGGAAGTGTTTAAGAACAGGTTGGACAAACCCTTGTCAGGGCTGGTCTAGGGTTACTTAGTCCTGCCTCAGTACAGGGGACTGGACTTGATTTCTCAAAGTCCTTTCCAACCCTACATTTCTATGATTTTATAAAGAGAGGAAATATGCCAACCCTGCAGTGGTTGGCCAGGAAGCAGAAATCTGAATTTCTACAGCTGACAAATGTCGCTTAGTGAACTGCAGTGTTTTGAAACGAATGCTTTTGGGTGCTGCTCCTCACTGCTCTGTTCAAATTAATAACAACTTTACTGCACTAGAACATTAAAAATCAACTATGTTTATATTTTGTTTTGGAGAGGAGCTGAAGCACCAAAGCAATAAGAGACAAATGTTTAATATTTAGTTTTTGTTAGCGTTCTTTACTCTGGGTCTTCTTTATCTGTTGCATGGTTCCGTTTCTTCATCGCAGTTCTTTCATGCAGACCAAATTCCATGTTTGAAGTTTTCCAAATTATGAATGTGCTGTTTTATAGAATTGCTTCCTTTTGTCTCTGATCATTCTGCAGTGTTATTTGCATTCTGTTTGCTGGATTATCCTGTGTGGCAGGATATTTGACCTCTTGTATTGAGGTTTTGCTGCTAAAATTGGAATAAGCTTTTATAATGATGCTTAACATTTTTAAAAGATATTTTAAAATGTTGAAATATGCATGATTTTGGTGTTTTTTACAGACTATCAGAGATACCTTGTTTGGTATTAGTGGCATATAGTGTGTGTGTCGGGGGGAGGAGGGGTTCAGCATATGTTTTATGATGAGGCCCCAGGATGTCCCTAGGGTGTTGTGTGCACAGGGCTTTATTTACCACTGATGAGGAAAATCTCTTCTTTAACAGATAGCCCCTTTTAGTGCCGGATTCTCCAACACACCTGGGAATCTAAGGCACTCAAAATGGACTGAAACAATACTCTGTAAATTCTGGACATGGACTAGATCTGCTCTGATTTCCTGGTTTCTGTTCCTTACCTATGCTATCCTGCTAATGCCACTTCTCCTTGGTGACTGGCAAGGGACACATCTCGTACCTAGAAATTTCCATTATGGAGCACTGCAGGATTCCCCTTCTTTTCTTGGTCTCATCCTTTTTGGCTACCTCCTTTCTGAATTCAACCAATAATATGTAGACAATACCTAGAGCTTATCCCTCTTCCTGTTTCGGTCCTTTTGGGCTACTTCAGTATTATTAATGCCTAGATTTGCCATATCTTTCCACACAAAGTATCTAAAACTGGTATCCTGATTGGAAAAGCAAAAAAAAAGAAACAAAATAAAAAACCCTCACTCAGAACTCTACTTCTTCTCTCTCCCTTCTCAAGCCAAATTTCACATTTGCTCCTGCTATAAGGAATTTATAGTAGGCATTCCACATGGCCCTGAACTCTGTGCCTTTCCAGATCTATATACGTGATTACAATGAACATCACCTGCAACAGAATTCCAAATTCTGCTTGTCGTTATAGTGCTGTAAACCCAAAGTGACTTCACTAGCATGAATTTATTCTGCCCTCCAGATTTATACTGATAAATTGAAGGGCAGATTTTAGCCCACTATCTCAACCAATTTTCTGTCAACATTCTTATACTGGATGCAGCCTGGATTAACCTTCATCTCTTCTTACTTTGGCTGCTGTAATTCCCTTCTTTGTCTCCCTAAATCTCAACTCTCAAAACGTCCATTTGCTCTGTTTGTGTTATTGTTTTTTTAATATTAGCATGTCTTTATAAAATGTTATGGGCCTGATCCTCAGAAGGTGTAAATCAGTATATGCTAGTTTATATCCGTTGAGGATCTGGCTCCATGTTTTTAGTATTGTCTTTTTATTCTTTGTCTGGAATACCAGAAGCTGGAATATGGGAAGCTATAAGACTAATACTTTATTAATAGACTTGTGCTGACTGGGATTTAATTTAAAGGAATAACATGTTGCTAACAAATTCTCTTAAGGTAGACCAGAGACTGCAGGTGTGAGGGGATCAACAGGTAACTTTTTGAAGCACTGGAATTACTGAATTTTCCAAATGAGCACGTATAGTAAGTGATCAACAATACACCAGTGCATCTAGGGTGACCAGACAGCAAGTGTGAAAAATCAGGACAGGGGGTGGGGGGTCATAGGAGCCTATATAAGAAAAAGATCCAAAAATCGGGACTGTCCCTATAAAATCAGGACATCTGGTCACCCAAAGTGCATCCCACTTGCCTCACTCAGATCAAGACAGAAGGTAATACTTCTCACCCCATATTATGCCTTAACACAATTTTGTGACATTAATTCAGTAAAAATTTGGAGGACAAAGTGCCACCTACTGAATTACCAACCCATTTTATGCAACACCCCATGCTTTTCTTTAGGGGTCTACAATTCAAGTGCTGCCTCTGCTTAATTCATGATATCCAGCAAGATGTCTATACATGGCTGCAGGTATTCATTTGAGGTTTAATTTTGTGCAATTTCTGTATATTAAAATAGATAAACGCATGTTTTCTACAGTACCTATCCTTTGGTATGTTTACTATGATCATAATTCACTAAAGCACCCAGGATGGCTTCCTGGTCAGGCATCGGAGGTTCCAGATTTGCCATGTTCAACTCCACTTTCTGAACTCCACCTGCAAATCACTGTCTCTTTATTGCTAATGGTCAGACATCCATGAATATTGGCTAATGGCTAACACCTCTGAAGGAACATATTCTTTATGTTAAGAAATATTGTGTAAAAAAAAAGTGCTAGTTCACTATTTTTAAATAATTGAGGTAACTTTAGTATATGATCCTGTACTGTTATTCAGTGCTTAAGAATTGAGGTTTAAATTCCATTGATAACTTAGTAACTGTTTAAAAGGTAAAGATGGTAAAACATCTAGAGGAGAAAAAAAAAAGATGTAGCCAACTGAGTCTGCGATAGACTGGCCACATTTTCTATAAAATAAGATGTAAGAGGCATTTTGGGGGAAAAGTAGGGAAACATGTTACCTTTCATAATTTGAATGTGCTGAATCTGAAAAAAAAAATGTTCACCAAATTGAATTTTGAATATTTCACCATCTAAATTGTAGTTCAAATCTGAAGTCAATTTGAAAAATTAGTAAATTTCCATGATTTTTATTCTACCTCCTGCATTATAGGCAGTGCTGTAGTATGAAATGATCAGACTTTACTGTGACTACCTTTTCTTTTATTTTCCAACTGCACAGAGAGGAAAACATCAAAGCCCTTGTCTTTTTCAGTGGATCACAGAATTTGGTATGGGCACTTCCTTTCTTTGGCGTCATGAGTTTTTCCTGAACAAAGGTATTCAATTGCTCCTGGCCAGATATTTCTGCATTCGGCAGAGCTTCCTGAATTGCTTCTGTAGACAAATCCTTTCTTGCAATGTTTTGCAGTGTTTGGAGGCTGGCTCACTAGTGAATAATTTGAATCTATTAAGTGTCATTAACGCTCCCCGCATGGGGGGAGGGAGGCCGGGGCGGTGGGAGGCTTTTTTGCCTGGGGCGACAAAAAAGCCAGAGCCGGCCCTGCCCTCACCCCAAGCGCTGCCCCCACAGCTCCCATTGGCTGGGAACCGCAAACAATAGAAGATGCAGGGGTGGCGCCTGTGGACAGGGGCCAGGGCAGCGTGCAGAGCTGCCTGGGTGCACCTCCACATAGGAGCCAGAGTGGGAACATGCCACTGTTTCTGGGAGCTGCTGGAGGTAAGTGGCACTCAGAGTCTGCCCCCCTCAAACCTCTCCTGTGCCTCAACCCTCTGCCCCAGCTCTGATCCCCCTCCTGCCCTCCAAACCCCTTGGTCCCAGCCTGGAGCACTCTCCTGCACCCCCAACCCCTCATCGCCAGCCCCAGCCGGAGCCCTCCTGCCCTCCAACCCCCAATTTCGTGAGCATTCATGGCTAGCCATACAATTTCCATACCCAGATGTGGCCCTCGGGCCAAAAAATTTGCCACCCCTGTGATAGACGCTGTGGTTGGAACCTTTCACAACTGAGTTGTCCATGTTGCTTAGCACAAACGATGACATCTGGTCATAGAAACTTGCTGATGACAGAATACGCACTAGGTTATTGTAGTCTTCTGCAGCATCAGATTTTGCAAAATCCAAAAAAATTTCGTTGAGTTTCTTGTCATGTTTCTGTAGATAGCTCAGAAGCTGTGGTAATGACAGTTGCCACATTGCCTGTAGAGTGTTCATGTGAGCATGAGTGGCTTTTGCACAATCTTTACCAGCAATTACATGCTCTATTGTTTGTCTACCTAAAATTCCAGTCCACACACTCGACAATCCAGAATCCTGAGTATGCTGCCCCAGCACGTTTAGGAAGTTCATTGTTATGTGTAAACCTCCTAAGCATGGAATCTAAATTTTTATATTCTGGTACATCCATTTTCGCTTCCTCAAAGCAGGGAAGAGTGCTTGATCAACTGTCAAGACTACATGTTTCTGTTAAAGATAATGTGTGACTTGTGCAAATCTTTGCACAACAGTATTCAGTGCATCAATTCATGAGCTGGGGACTGAATGATAGACATGAAGCTGTATGTTGTTAGTGGAGAGTAATTGTTGCTGTACTTTTCATTAAAACTTGTCCATCCAGATTTTAGATTTTAAAATTGATGTTTGAGGGAAAATGCCATATCCTGTGTTTGTGCTTTCAAAGCTGACTGGCAATCATTTATGTGTCCATTAAACCACTATAGCAGGACATCTTCATTGAATTTTGGTTCTGCTGTACCTTCTGTGATATTAGCAGAAAAAGATGGTGTTCATTGCATCTGGGACATTCAGAGTAACATGATTTGTTGGCTCAATGTCCTGCAGTATCAGATCAAATGCGGGTCTTCTGCCAGGTGGCATACTATGTGATATGAAAAGTGTTTTGCTCATCAAGTGTACACTCATTTTATATCAGCATTAGCTGCAGTGAAATCTGTAAATCTTCCTTTAACCAAGTTTGATGGGATCACTGTTCCATCCCCATTCATTGTCATCAGTATGCTCTTGGCCAGTGCTGTGTCAACTCGAAGTATGTTCTTGTAGCTGATCGTGCCCAGCACTGTGAAACACCTAGACACATTTTTTTGATCTTGTGGTCTATTGAAGGGTGCTTCCAAGCCCAACACGTTTGGGTATCCACTTCTTACCTCCACTTATACTGTAGATGAAATCTTGTGCAATACTTAACATCATGGACCATTTATATGATTTCTGGTTCTCATCTTCATATGCTTCTTCAACATATTCTTTAGTGTCTTTTCTGTCTTTTTCCTTCTCTTTCTTCTCCTCCTCCTCATCACCACTACCTTCAAATTCCCTGACTTCGGGAATAGACTGGTTACCCAAGTCGCAAAAACATGTATACACTCTTTGGCACACAGGCAGTGCCTCTTCTCACTGATGTTTAGCCCAGGATTAGCAAGCATATCTGAGAATAATTTCAGTGCTAAATTGAGAGAAAATCATCTCCTCGCTCAGTCTTGTAAACTGGAATGGTTGTTACATTTTCTTTTCCTGCACTGTCAAACAATTTAGAGGAAGAGATGTGATGGAATTTGACAGGCACTGAGCAGATTGGTCAGGTAAGATAATGAACTCATAAGCACCATCAAGACGTAGAATGTTTTTCTCTGAAAGTTGTCATATGACTCACAAATGAACATGGGACGTCTCTGCCAGAAAAATGAGAGAAAACAGTAATGAGTCCATACCTGTGAGAATTCCAAAATGTGGCCTTTTTCTGCACCATGTTTTAACTCATTAGTAAGCCCAATCATTGCCGAGTCTGTACCACAATGAGTGGTTTCATACTTAGTTTTTGTTACTTTTTTCAGTAAATGCTTAGGGTGATATTTCCCTTCTGAGGCTATAAGGTCACCTACACCATCTAAACATCCACTGAGGTCATGTTCAAACTCTGCTGCTGTAAGTATTTGTTTGTTTATTTTGAATCTTATTACAGAAGAAAGTTTTTTGTTTGGAACTTCCCACCTGGCAGAAAATGCAGACTACAGTTCACTGGGGGGAATCTTGCTCTGAAGCACTGTAAAGCTTTTGGTGATTGTAATACAAGATTGGGGTTGCAGCTCACTTTTGCTTGTTGATGAAGTCTTCCAATTTTACCTTTATCTATGTACATTGCATAACAGGTTTGTTGGCTTTTTTGTTCGATTTTTGTGGCCAAAGTAACAATTGCCTGCAATCTGATTGAAGAGCTCTTAGAATTCTGTCAGTTGCATGCCTGTTTTGGTAGTCCCTGAGTTTGTCTTGCATTTGTTGCCTCTTCTGTTGTAGCCAATCCCTGTTTACTTGTTGGCATTGTTCATAAGATACTGTTGAGGCAATATTCAGGTTCAAGACTGCCTCAAAGTTTCATCTGCGGAATACTTGATGATATAAATATAATTAATAACTACAACATGAATATTGAATACATAAATAAATTACCATGATGTAGCTCGTGCTGTGGCATTGGTATCTAAATCAATACCCAACTCACACTGTAAGCAAAAGTCAGCTTTAGGTTAGGTTAGTGGGTAGTGCTAATAATAACCTATATTTTTGAAAGAGAACCTACAAAAATAAGTGATGTGATATACTATGTTGTGTATGATATTTTGTATAATGCATAGCAGTGCATTTAATGTCTTCACATATCAAAAATACCTGAAAAGTATTTAGTTTACTTAATCTTAAACATCATCCTTACTGCAAAGCCAACAAAATTCAAGTGCGTGCCATCGCATGACCAGAGGAAGCAGAGAGTGTGCACTTCAACAGAAACAGCTTCCTGCATTTGCTGATAGGAAATTAGGAACATATTCCATATATAGTACTTATCCTTTATTTTCTATTTGCTTTTTTAAGTTACATATGGTAGCCGTTTTTGTTTTTACTCGCCTTCAAGTTCAAAATTCAGCTTGGTAAACAACATTTTCAGATTCAGCACATTCAAAATGTGGAAGAAAAAAGTTTACCAACTTTTCCCTAGTTTTTGTTTCATTAATACAAATTTATCTGGGAATTTGGCCTACTCTATAATCAAGTAAGACAGCTACATACACTCCACACTAACTAAGCCACGCAGTGAAGCACGTTCATGCATGCAATGCTTGTACCACGAACTGGAAAGCCCAAGTTCAACACCCTGGTGAAACTCTGGCAGGAAACTGTCATGTAACATTACTCATGCAATGTCTTAGTGGTGAGGATTGATTTTATTTTTAATCATTATGCTTTTGGGTAGTTGTGGATTATTGTCTAGTGGCTAGAGCAGCAGTGACCTGGAGTCAGGCATTCTGGGTTCTTTTCCCATTTCTGCCACAGACTTTCAGTAATGCCTTCCATATTGTATGATAGTGGAAGTGTGAGGCTTTGCTGTGTTTGGTTAGATGCACTGACCCTTTTCTGGTAAGGAAAGTTTGCAAGAGCTAGGAGAGAGAATTGTTTTAAGATGGACAGTAGTGCTAGTAAGGATGAAACCAGGCAGTAGACAACTTGGCTATTTTTTTTTTTTGGCAGCTGGGTCATGAGAGAGACTCCCAAAGCATCAGCAGGACAGACGAAGGCCAATACGAACTGGCCCACTACCAACCTCCAAAGGAATAGCAATAATGGGCTGTTCATTCCTTGGGACCAATATCAGGTAGCGATTAAACTTCATGTGGGTTTAAGAGAATCTGTTAATATAATCTCCATCCTGGCCTACACCTCTATTCCCCATCCTTCCTACTTCCCCCGTAATGTACAGTCCTTATATGTGTGATGTTGTCTTCTCGTGGGTGGCCCAAAGAGTAATGAGACCTAATATTACTGACTATTGCAGACTGATTTTTAGCTCAACTCATAAATATATGTGCTTAGGAGCTTTAGGACCCAGAGTTCTAGTCTTGGCTTCCCAGATGTGTGTTACTTACAGTAATTGTATCCATTATCTGCTGCTCATGGACGTCTTTAGAACTCTCGTGGCTTCTGCCAACGCTCCCTTTGTATCCTTCTTACACTCTTGTCTCTGTAGCTGCTTCTCTCTTCCAATTCTCTTGGGCCATACCATCCTCCTCTCCTTCTTCAGATCCCCACTGAAAGCATGCTGCTTTCCAGAACCCTTTCAGGGATGGCTGCTGCAAGACATCTCCATCAAGCTTGTACCGTACTTTGCTGTAGCCTATATGACTGCACCGTGGTTTGCCTTACATGGATTGTAAGTTCTTTGCTAAGGGACAGAGGGCTAGATCCTCAGTTGGTGTTAACTGGCTGGTGACTTCAATGGAGCTTTGCTGCTCTATAGCTGCTGAAGATTTGGCCCCATATATTTGTATAAGTATTTGAAAATGCTCATAGGTGGCAAATATTATTACAAGGCTGAGCACACTGCTAGCATTCAAGAAATACTACTACAATCAGCACACATTCCTACTGTCTTCAACTGTCTCCTCATTTAAACCTGCCAGAGCCGGGGAGTTTTTATTTTTAATCTGCTCTGATGCTTTTAAGCTACTTGTCTGTAAGAAATGAAGATATTTTTAGTCTTGCAGCTTTTTCCTATTTCATGGCCTGGATTTTTAGCTAGCACTCTCCTTTGGCAAAATGCAGCCAGGGCACAGCTGTCTCAGCGGAGCCATATAGACATTCTTAATGAAGTATCAAATTAAAGGTTCCTCCTTTGCTGCTTGAGCTTCCATTCCTGGGTTAAACTGAAAAAGAGCTCTCGTTCTGCGCTAGCCAGGAGTCGTTAAACACCTGTCCCTGGGGCGGGACCAATGGACTCTCTTATTCTCAGACAGGAATTTATCATGCTGAGTTTGGGGGAGAAAGCAAAAGCTATTAAGGAGAGACCCAGATATCTTTAGTCAAAAGATCAAAGTTAAAGCTCCAACTCTTTGCCGTTACAACCCCAAGATCCTAGGCAAGGACTGGATCATAGGGAATAAAGCAAAGCTGGCAGATCGTGACTGGAGTCAGTGACAGCTCAAGAGAAATAATCCCCATTATTATTTATTATTACTAGCTGATAAAGCACTGCTTCCTGAAGTGATGATTCAGCAGAGGACAGGCAGCTCAGCAATGACAAGAGAAGCCTTGAGCTGTCACAAACAGGGATTATATTAAAAAAATGAAAGATCAGAAAGGAGAATTCAAGTGCCAGATGTTGACAAGAGGGATTGCTGCCTTGGGATTGTAATATGGAAGATGAGCTGAGCTATAGAACGGCCAGCCTTCATAACCCACATGATTTCATCAACTCGTCCTTTTTTCCCTTCCAAACCAGGTCAAGCCCAGCTGTATGAATCTGAATGCATCTCACTGTAATGATCAGACTGCACTCACTGAGACCATTCAAAAGAGCTTTGCTGTATTAGAGAAAGATGGCCACAGAGGGCTTAGAATCATCAGTAATTGAAGGCAGAAAAGTTCTGTGAGATAGTCAGGGACCCATTAGGAGAATGGCTGCAAGAAGAAGCAGACTTTATGCTGGCTGATCTCCAGACCAAACACTGCATTAAGTCAGAGAGGAAAACTGAACATAGTGTGCTTCACAAAAACATTAATAGAATGGTGTCACTTAAAACAGTCTAGATACTCAGAAAATTCATGGGTTTAGACCTCAATATTGATAAAAAATGGTTATTAAAACTATTATAATGTATTATTAAAACTTTAGATTATTACAAGATTGCCTTTATCTTTATCGCATTTAAGGAGATGCTTGCAGGTATTTTCATAGATGCTTGGAGAATGGTAGCTCACCTGCTTATGTTTTTGGTTTCTTACTTTAATGAAATGTTCAAGCTAATTAAGGAAATTCCTGAATAATCTCTGCTTTCTGTCAATGCATGATAAGCATCAAAAATGTCAAAGAGGATGAGCCCTCCTTAGCCATAAAGCCATGTTTTGGTGTGTTTATGCTGACTCTGAAGTGTAACTTTATAACTTCTGTTTTGCTTTAACTTTCTATATTTTATTTTATATTGTGTTTTGAAAGTTGTACATAAATGTTGTGATTTGTGACTTGCATAAAATATTTAAGAGGAGTCTTTAATTGTAAATATGCTATAAATGGCAGACTGTAAATCAAGGAACCAAATCGAGGTCAAAAGTCAAACAACCAACAAGAGTGTCTAAGGCTAGGTCTAC